AACAGGCCACTGCCATCGTGCTGCTGGGCGTCATTGGGGCTGAGTTTGGCGCCGAGATCGAGCCACCGAAGGGTTCTGGTCGGGCTCGCACTGGTGGACAGGCACCCGAGGGCTTTGGGTTGACGAGCGGAGGATCATCCAACTACTCGCTGGCCAGACACACGTGTAAGTGTTGATCAAACACACACACACACACACACACACTCTAAAACCTCAGGTAGCTTTTAGCTAGGAATTCCTTGTCTGTCTCTTCGCAAACATGTTGGATTGCTGTCATTAAAAAGTTTTTCTTTTGGAAAAGCCAGTCCGTAGTTGTGGGAAGACGAGAGCAGCAGCAGTGGGGCTGATATTGTTATTGATTTTCTCTCTTTGGGCCTCTTTTATTTTTCTATAATCTTGTTTCACCTTTTAATTTTCTCCGTGCGCTGCGTGGCTCTGTGCTGCATTGCCAGATACACACAGAGAGAAAAACAAAAAAAAAAAAACCTCCTTCATCTCCTCATGTCTGTTTTCTAACTGTTGGACTTCAGCTCCCTGTGAATCCTCACCATCTGTTGAACAGATAGTGTGTGACATTAAGGATAAATCCTCCTAAGTGTGCTGTTCCTTGACCTATTGAACTAGTTGCACTGACGATCGTGAACCTCACCAGGGCGGTACACAAGTGAGGCAACGCTCATCATCTTCTCTCGTCTGTTTGAACCGGAAATGTGAAAATTCAGTGAGTTTGACCAAAGAAATGTTAAAATGATACAGAAATCGAATTCATAAAACGGTGAAGTGGACACATTGATTTGCTCTCAGCATTGTTAGTATTTTATTTGTCACTGATCAATGGGTGCATTGTGTTGTTTTACACAGTTAAACTAGTCAGCTTTGTATATCGGGATCTGTATCATGTATTTAGGACAAACGAGGATTGAACCATCATATCCAAAGAGAAAAAAAAAAAATCCTGAAGTTGTCAGTCAAGTGAGAAGTTGCCTCATTTGTACATAGTTTTTTTTTTTTTTTTTAGTCCTAAAACTGCGGTGTGAAAAACAGAGTGCACTCTGACAAAGTAGACAACTAGTTCAACAGTGGCTTAGAAACCATGGCAGATGGATGAAATTGATTTTCATCCACCAAGCTGAACACCTCAAGGTGCTCGCCACCGAGACATACTCTCTCTCTCACACACACACACACACACAGTCAGTCAGTGTACCACACTGTGCTGACAGCATTGGACCTTGGTGGGCTTCAAACCTGCACTAAGCAGCCCTGCTTTTCCAGCCCACTACTCCAGTGGTTTCATTGGCTGCCTCTGGGGGGCATCTGCCCAGCGACAGACACGCGCGCACACACGGTAAAAATACCAAACTGTGAACAAGGTCTGGTTTCACATGGTCCAACAGAACATCCGGTTCAAAAACATTACAAACTTACAAGTATTTTTGTATTGACAATTTCTCAAGTTGGATTTCAGCAAAAACAACATTAGTGGCTTAGTTCTGAAATGGTAGCCTTCAAAACGTAAGCAACACTCGGAAAGTGAAGAAGTGAGTGTTTGATGTTGTTTCAGGCTACATCCTTTACAGTCAACTGTTTACTGCTGTGTGAGAACAGCTTGTCTCGGTGTATCCCTGCCATTTAAATGTAATAAAAGGTGATACATGAAGACGGATGTTTCTAAAGTCAGCCTTCTGGTCCACCTCGGCCCCGACTCTACAGCCCCCCAGTGAATGGACTCTTTAAGTGTTTTTTATTACTAGAAACTCACTTTGACAATTACAGATGACAGTAAAATACCTGTGGTACAGGAACATCCCTTATCTCCTACTGTCTCATGTCTTTCACTGCATTTAGTCCCTTTTTTTTTTTTTCTTCCTGGGCCGTTTTTCTTTTTTGTTTGGTCTGCGCTCCTACAGTTGTTGTTCTCCCCCCGCCCCCTTTTTTTTCTCCTCTCAATCTTACCCCCTTTCCTCTCGCTATTATGAAATTGAAAGATGGATGGGTGTTGTTGGCATACAGCGCAGAGGGTGATGAATGAGAGCTGTCCAACCAGGAAGAGAGGGAGGCTACAGTAGTCTATACAACAGAGTATAGATTGATGTTTTCATACAGCGAGGAGGGAAATATAGGGGAGATGGAGAAGGAGATTGTGCCCAAGGATGGAAGGAATGCCAAAAGAATGAGAAAGGGAATGTAGATGGACAGGTCACTATCATGAGAAAAGAGGGGGAAATGTCAAAACACCTCCGGTACCTGAGACGGTGACGTCACGAACAGCCTTTAAAAATAATCATAAAAAAAAGACAGTGGAAAATCAAATATGTACGATATCCCTTAAAACAGGTGAATGAGAATTTAATTATTTTTTAATTATATTATTTTTTGATACATATGAGGCCAATCGAATTGGAATTCTGATTTCTGATTGTTTCTGGAAAGTGTAAAATGCCAGGAAAGTGTAACTCGCCCGTTATATTATATATAAATATTCTGATTTTTCTTCTTCTTCTTTTGTAAGTGTAACTGATTTATAAGGATTCCGATTTCCTTCAGTTGATAGCATAACCAAAAAGTAGTGTTCCGTAGATCCAATAACCACTAATTATGAAACATTTCTCGCAAGTCTTTCTTCAGTTTAAGGACTTTCAAAATAAAGTGAAAGTGAATGATTTGTCATTGGGACACAGCACACCACTGCACACAAACAAATGTGACCTCACAAATGTGACCAGGGGGCAGTGTGTGGGGACCGTGCCGTGCTCTGAGCACCTCAGTAGTAACTTGCTAGCTGGTGGATTTGAACCTCTAACCTTCCAGACCCAAGCCCTTTCCCTCCACTTCCTGTTTTTCTCCCTCTTCTTTCTCCTCGATCTTTCTTAAACCAGTATGATAATCGTCAACACACCCTCAGACAGACATCTCCAAAAACTGTCTCTAGTTTAGTTGATGAACAAATGGTTTCCAAAACCGATACAATATGAAGCCGTTTTTTTTTTTTTTTAAACTTCTCAAGTCCTACAGAGACAAATAACAAGCATCCTGTTTTCAGTTGATACCCGTAGATATGATACGCCACTGGGAAATGAACCACTATAATGAAAGCAAAATGTACCAGTTACTTGAAGGACGTTGAGGTGACCTAAGGTTATATCCCAGTATATTTTTTTCTACACAAACCCAGCAGCTAAAAATCTAGTTTTACTAACATCTTGTTTTTGCAAAATCAAAATTTCATCCTCCCTCCTCCTCCTCTTCCTCCTCTTCTTCCTCCTCCTCCTCTTCTTCTTTGCAGCCAGTTTGATCTGGCTCTCATCCACTAACCAAGTCCACACTATTGATTTACTTTCAACTTTCATTTAAGCTGAGGGAGAGGGGGAGAAAGAGGTAGAGAGGGGGAAATTAGAACAAACGAGGAGGTAAAAAGGGAAGGAGCAGGAAAAAAAAAAGTAGTGAACCTGTTAGTGGTCAAACCACCTTGGAAAAAAAATTAAATGTCACTCATCTGTTTTTGTTTCACACTTTCACCTTCCCTTTGGTTATTCATTCTCCTCCTCCACCTCCTCCTTCTCCTCTGGTCTTAATCACCTCTTGTGTGTTATTGTGACATGTTTACTGCTCTAACTAACAGCTCATTATCGCCGACTGATGCTTTGTCAATAGCTATTGCTTCATTCGGCCCCTTCCAACCTTTAAACGAAGACGTCCGTTGTGAGAAACCAACCAGAATCTACAACTCTCTTTGTCGCTTCGTGGTCAATAGCCAGAAGCGGAGGAGCTGTAAATCTGAAACGCAGGCCAATTGCAGCACGATCATTAACGGCTAACGCTAATTGTCCAAAGAGAAAATGTATGCTAATATTTCTGGATAAGGGTTCATTACACAAATCCACACCTGTGTCGCAGTCAAACAAACTGTTGAACCTTGACCCAAAAAGACTAATATACACCCAATGACAAACCTCACAGAATATGATTGAAATCCACAACTGTGTGTTTTAGTTTTTATTTGGTTTAATCTAAATACATTATTCTGGTTCAGTTTGATGGGATTTGTTCATTTAAAGCTATTCAAAATATGACTTCACTGGTAAAAACAACTACCAATCAGTATCAGTTTCATTGATTTGTGTGTGTGTTCTCCTGGTGATTTGTAATAATCATTTATCCGTGGTCTAAGGTCACAGCAGCGCTGATATTTATGGTTGACTGTTTGCATGCTTATTGATGTAAGAAACGAAAACATGATCGATTCGACCTGCTGAGTCTCTCAGCGTTTTTACATGCCGGTCACAAGACGAGGGTCAAAAGTCACCAGCCTGTCACTGGACACAGTCAGGACATGTTAATTACATAGACCTCTCCTTCCCCCAATCTGCATGTTTTATACAAAAGTAACAAAGAGCGGTGCTACGTGTCAGGTAGCTGTGTAGCACAGCAAAGCCAGCAAAAAACTGTAAGCAGGGCTGGTAATATTTGGTCCGAGGTAAATGCAGCTATGACAACATTGTTAGTTATTTTACTGTTTGTGTGTGTGACACTGGTTTTGCGCCTCCATTCATTTGCAATTCCCATAATCGTATGTATATTTTACTGTTTATGTGTGTGACACGGTTTTGCGCCTCCATTCATTTGCAATTATTAACTATTTTGTGGTGCAAATTTCTATTACAACGTTAAAGGCAAAGTACATTTCTGCCTTGAGTATCTGTGGCTGGCATCGTCGGCCTTTAACAAGTACTGATACTACTTCTGTTGGGCCCAATACTGATATCTGGTATTGGTACTTGCTCATCCTTGGTGACTACCTACTGAAGGACCTTTTGAAGGCAGAATGAACTTATAACAGCTAAACAATACCATACTATATATTTATGATTTATTCATTTATTAATTGTTTACCATTTAGATTATTACTAAAAATAATAATAATACACTATCTTTTTTAAGAGTTTATTATATTTATGTAGTGTATTATAAATATATGAATTACTAGTCTGCAGTATTTGGCCCTTTAATGAAAGGAATATAATATATAAAGAAATTAGAATTATTTTACAGTGACGTGGAGTCAAATATATATATATATATATACATATATATATATATATATATATATATAGTTCTAATTTCTTGATATATTATATTCCTGATATCTGGTATTGGTATATATA